ATACTAAAAGCTCTAGGTTTACTAGATGTCACATAAGGTGAGGTGAGGTGCGGTTTGGTAAGGTAAGGTAAGGTAAGGTAATAATCTATTGTTAGATCCACAGCTCAGAAATTTGCATCATTACAGCAGCAAAGTGGATTGTGCAAACAAAAAACATCAGTTAAAAAAAAAACACAAAGCAATATAATAGGTATGTGTCGGTTAAAAAAAATCAGTAAAACAAGTAAGAAATTAAAAATACAGAGCAACTAAAATACGTAAACAGTGAAAAACAGATAAGTATAATAAGTAATCAGTAAAAAAAACAGAGCAATATAATAAGTAAACAGTATAAAAGCAAAATACAATAAACTGACAGGTTGATGAATGTTCTAAGTATAGGCATAGCTGATGTTTTTTTTTTTTAAATCATAACCTAAGGAATTCTTATTACATCAAATACCTATTAACAACTGTTGTCTAACCTTTTTGTGCCTTTAGTATGACAGTTAAATGTGGAGAACACAAAATCATAGTATTATAGTTCAACTATACAATGTGATTATTATGGCAAAATAACTAGACCAGCTTATTCAGCTGTAGTAGTTTCTTTCAAATGCGTCATGCAAAAATGAAAACTTGTCAAATGAAAATGCAGGCAGTTTACCATTTGGCTTCAATCAGACATCATGCAGCTGTCATTCCCCAAAACACGGCGAAGACCAGTACTCAATAGGTGCACATCTCAACTACATTTATGTGTTTAAAACATAAAAACTTTGCTCATATTATCGCAACATCACATCAGAATGGCTGCACACAATGGGCTGTATAAATTACTGCAGCAGTAACTAATAATTTGGGGTGCTGACAGGGGGATATTCTAAAAAACCATCCTTTGTGTGGTTGGTAGTGTTTTTTTTATTTATTTAAAAGGTAGACCAGCAGTTTTACTACAGCTACTACCACCCAATCTAACACACATGACAATAAAAAACAGAAGAATATTTAATTGTCATTATCATTATTTGCCAGCAGCTGCGTGTTAAAATCAAAGTTAATTCATGTTAATTCACTTAACTACCAAGTATGTGCGGCTCTGTCCTATAACATTACAATATACATTACTCAGCTTCTCAAAAACACAACTTCACAGGTGCCATTGAAATGCGGAATATTTTAGCTAGCAGGTAGCTTGTGGCTAACGTTAGCTTTTAGTTAGCAAGCCGTTTTCAGTTGTATTAGCATATAACGCTAGCTACCATTTCGCCATTGTTATTTACACTGTTTTTTTAGTAAATCGTTTAAAGGTTTAAGGTTTTATTACCACTATTAAAATATGGGCGGTATATTCATATAAACTTATATAAATCATAATTTGCTGGATAATTACTTACCACCATCATCACACCAAGTTGCCATGAAATAACAGTAGTCCGAATGCTATGAAGTGATTGGTTGGCAGGACGGCCGCAGTTATGCTTGTCCAATCAAATATTTTGTAGGTGGGACTTTCCTCAAACTACAACCAACTCTTCAAAGTATTACCACCAAATTAAAAACACTGATTGTGCAGTAAACGTTCCCCGTCAGTGTTTTAACATATGATGTTTTTGATTAATATAACTGCTGCATTAATGTGTATGTTGCGTTGTACTGCTGTAGATATTTAGGGTTGTGCTCATTTAACTCCTTTTAACACTGTTGTAGTTTTATCTTTATGCGTCATATTCTACAAGATCATTATGTTTGTGGCGTTGCTGTCCTTAAAGGTCAACTTTTCATGGTGTCAGCAAAATAACCCTGTTTTCAGCTTTGTGACAATGCACTTTCCAGCTGATCCACGAGGGTTAAAACAGTTTATTTAGCTCAAGAAATAGGAGAATTCTCATAACACGTAAAGGAACACTTCGTCTTTCAGTTTATCACAAACATTCATCATCAACACATCTGGAAATACATGGTTACCACTGGACAGAAAGGGGATCAAAAACTCTAATTGTAAAACTAAATAAAGGTGTCTAGGCAGTATAAAAGCACAATATTTGCCTCTGAGATGTAGTGGAGAAGAAGTATGAATTAAAATATCTATGTATAATACTTGGATAAATGTACTTTACATTTCCTTTATAGTACCAATTTGATATTTATACCATGTTTCTTTTACTTGTGGCACGAAATGTATCAATATCTTGACTTTACCAAATAAAGTTGGATGATAAAGGCATTTATAAGCAGGTGTTGTAAATATCCGAAATGCATTATGACATCTCAAGTCCTACTGATAGTCAGCTGTAAGCACAGACTACATGAATTTATAAAACATTTCACATTGGGGAAAGGTATATTTATATACACATATTTCTTAAAGATGAAGCTACTCTGGTGGTAGAGATAATTCAAAACTTCTAACCTTAAAATACAGAGCCAAAGAACATGTTTTTTAAAAATCACTGATAAAGGTAATGTGAGAAGGGCAAGGAGTAAAAGTGGAGCTCAGCTCTTCACTTATCTCATAAAACTGTGATGACTCAGCCTGAGGCAGACTTAATCTGAGTTTAACTGTGTAATATGATGACTGACATTTCCCCAATCACTCATGATGAACTCTTTCTACAGCTGTCACTGTTCTCTGCTTGTGAATTTGTATATATGCTCCAGGTTACGTCTTTGCCGGGTATCAGTCTTGCTTGTCTTTGGCTCTGTTTGAGTTTTACCACTATAAGCGAGATAATATCTACCACTCAGACATGCTTCTGAATGTTTCACAACCTCAAATAAACACGACCCCTCCCAGGAGAAACCAAGTCTACCAACACTTCAGTTTGTTTTCTTCTGTTTACCAGTGGAGCAACATGCTCTCTTCCTCATTGACCTCTGACCTTGACAGCAGGGGTCAGTGTGAGCTGTCAAGTGCAGACAAACACACACAGCAGTGATGAGTTTACCCCACAGCCAATGAAAAGATAAACACAAGATAAGGACCGAAAAGTGTGAGTTTAAACCAGAACTTTTCTTTTGAGCTTGTGGTAGAAAACTGGAAATTGAGCGGGGGTTAACAGTCTATTTCATTCCAGAAAAGACAAAATAACAAATGGCAGTCAAAACATGGTCCTTTTTTGTAAAATGCGTCTATAAATAATAAGCTTGGACAAAAGTATATGTGTTTCTCAAAATGAATGACGTTATGTTATTCTAACCTCACTGATATAAATTGGGATGACAAAATGAATGGTTCATTTGCAAAAAAACAAACAAACAAAAAAAAACATACTTGTTTCTGTTTTTTTATGATATATATATTGTGTGTGTGTGTGTGTGTGTGTGTGTGTGTGTGTGTGCAAGGTAATATCAATCAATCTGTTGGTTGTTTTGTTAAGATATCCGAAAGTTTTAAATTTTTTTATAAATCATGTTTTTTTAATTGTGCACTCCAAAAACCAATCAAACTGCTGGTGATTTTATCATCTTAAGAATGACTTTCATCTGTTTTTGCAAACTCTGTTTGAGTAAAAATTTAATATTAAGTCCTTGAAGACAGTATTTACTACAATGTTTTACACTGGACTGTTCTAGCAAGGTGTAACTAATAAACTTTTTTTTTTTGTCTATTTTTTTTTTTTTGATATGTCATCAGTTATGTAAGAAATAATACACAAGCAGATGTGGGCATGTTCATGATTTTCTTTATCAGTAGACCCAACACTACAATATGCCCCTAATGATCACTAAAATAAAATAAACTAGTTCAACCACCTCATGGCTGTTAATTCGTGTAAAGTTGCAGTCACAGTTTACATCCATGTCTGTCCAGACTCATATGTTGCCATGACAGCTGACAATGCTTCAAATATGGATGTTGCCGCAAAGAAGCTACAAATCCTATGGATAAGTGTTTTTGTAGAACATTATGATGTCACAGTGAAGTTGACCTTTGAAAGTAAAAAGTTGTTACTTCATCAGTTTATTTTATTGGACATTTGTGTGGAATTTTGTTATAATTCAGTGAGGAACACTTTAGTCAAAGAAAACTTTGTTTGAAAATGAAAACATTTTTTTTGGAGGCTTTAACTTCCGGCAGTAGTTACTGGCATGGGGGTGTTCTTACACACATTATTTTACCTGGTCATTCAAAGGTATGGTGGCACCAGAGACTGTTGATAAACTGAGAAGTCCCACTTTTTTCATTTCCTGTATCTGTGTCATGTGGGTTTCACCACTGCCCCACCCCGGAGCGGCAGTCCTGAGTCTATTCATTCTGATGGGAGAAGCGAGTGTGAGTACAGATTATGACCATTTCCTACGCCCCATAGTCAAGTAAGTATTGGATCCACTTTTCACAGGCCCCAACCCTTCTAAATATTCTGACACAGAAATGGGAGAAATTTCAGGAGGAAATTAACTCTGTTGGAGACATGTCTCTGTTTTAGCAACATGCTCTCTTCATCTTACACTCGATTGACATCAAATGTTAAGCTAGCTAATAAAAACAAGCGGCAAAATAAGGAACAAACATTACATTTGTACTGCATATAGTGTATTGTTTTGAATCTGATTTCATCCATCCATCCATCCATCCATCCACACAAACTTTATTTCACTTCCAATGAGGTAAGGGGATTATAACCCTTTCTCTTCCTATTGTATGTGAGGGTAGAGATGACCATGCCCACTTTGGAGGCCAGAATTGTATACCATTTCATACTGTTGTTGGCACAGCTTGTAATACGGTATATTTGGTGACAGTATCTCTGGCACAGAAAAGGGTGAGTTTGGCTCTCATATTCCCTGTTGACTGTCTCATCTTGTTTTTCCATTCACAAGTCTTCTGTTAATTAAAAAGCATAAAAAGCATCTAGACTTCAATATGGACTTCTTAGAATGTGTCACAGGTACGAGCCTACTTAGCCTCTTAATGCCGTTTGTCATAGATAGTAGTCTCTACATATGCATAATATTTTGAAGCTATGAAGCGTGTATGTATGTATGTATGTGAGAGAAAGGACAAACATGAGTCAGTCTTCATGATAAACACTTTTATAGATAAAACTTATGGAGTCACAGGTTTACAGTTGTGTTCAAAAGCTTATAAATCTCCCTCCACCTCATGTACATATCCAACATTAATAAACTCAACTGTGTAAAAAACAAGACATAAAATACAAAACAAACATTCTCTGTACAAGGCAAAGTATGTTTTTGTTTTTCGTCATTCAATGTATTTCATTTAAAGGCAATAGTTGTCTTCTATTGAATAGTTTTTGTGACTGATGATGGTCTACAGTTTCAGATCCTGTTTCCATCTTGAGGAGAAAAATTCTGGTGTGAAACACTGAAGCCCAAGATGAAAGAGCCTCAGAGGTCAAACTTTCATTTTGGCACAAAAAACTACATATGAAAAATAAACACACAAACAAAAAAGACTAACGATTTACATGAGTTACAGTAACCTGTATGCTTTCTGATGAAACTCCTCTGTTTATAAGACAGTAGTTTCCAACATGTGCAGTCAGAACCCCAACAAGGGACTGCAAGATTAATGTGAGGAATAATGAGATGATGGACCAGAAAATGTATTTCTGCTACACAAATCTTTTTTCTCTTGAACTACTGGATCATTTTACATGTTAAGGCTGGCAAAAATTATTCAAATATACTATAACAAGGGTTAAATGTGGCATATGACATATAAAAGAGGGTCGCAAGTAGATGCTGCCTCATTATAAAACATCACTAGCCAAAAAACAGGAACCACTGCAGCCACGTGTCTTACTGAAAATGGCCACAAGAGGACTGATTATTTGGAATATTTCATTCCAAGTAAGCAGGTAATATTTACGATAAATCTTACATTAAATAGTCTGCTTCTTAGGACCCACATAATTAAAATAATAATAATAAAGATGATAATAAATTCATGATTGTCAAAATCAGTTATTCTCTGCAACATGTTTGGCTGTTAATAAGATAAAACAACATATTTCTTTTATGCGTCAATTCGTCATGGTTTGTTTGTAATCTTTATGGTAAATGTATGGTAAAAAAGTCTCTTCTTCCAAAACCAAAAGAACAACATAAGAAAAGATATATACCTACCTAAAATATCTGCTGGTACAAACACTTATTATTAAACAGTTGTCTTCACTGTAACAGATGAAACACTCAGCTGTATCCCGGAAATGATAGCTACTTGAACGTAACTTCAGCTCTATGAGTCTGTGCGTAGCTCTGCAACAGCCTTTGCTATTGGTTTATCCTCCGCCTAAGCATCTGAGAAAAGATTTATGGTACTCACCGTCCATTCAGGGAGTAGGAAACACAGGGCTCCTGAACCCTATAAAACCCTAGCGCATGTATTGACCGTGACTTTGAGAACTGAGTGCATAGATTTTAATAACTACATACCGAATGCTAGGATGATGCCTATTCATTCCAATAGAGCTGCTCATCTGGCGGATATGTCGACAAAGTTTTCTACATTTGGGGCAGCCCACTGAAAACGTGCAGGAGTGTTTCTTTCACTGGCCCCACCCCCGAGTTCCCGCTCAGCTCACTGACTCTATATTGTGGTGACATCACAGATTTTTTAATAATTTTTCTTGAGGAAAGTTTTACATAGTTCAGAATAAAGATACATAAAGATACATAATTGAGCTTGTTTGCAGTTCAAGGCATCCTGTCAACAGTTTTACAACTGTCTCTTACGATGGGGAACATGCTTTTTGAGCTGCACTACACAGAGTCCGGTCACTCTCTCCATGCTGGACTGGCACCAGCAGTGGAGGGTGCAGCCACTCAGTCCTGGGCAGGTTACATAAGGATGATGACCATTATCTCAATGAGGACGAAGACCCAGCTTCCTTCTTCAAAGACAAAGAGGCACCGTCCGACCATTATTACCCTTTTTCTCCTCTTCTTCTATGCAGGCCTCTGCACTCAGCCATGTGGCAGGTTGTGCCCTTGTGTGTTCCTTCCCAAGATGGGGCCCATATTTAACTGCGCTCAGCCCGAATGGCTATTGCTGCTGAGCACCAACCCTCCGGTGGTGGTATACCAGCTGAACTCCACTGTTGAAGGCTGGGAATATGACAAGGAAGTGCCCCTTATCGAGGATGAGGTTGAGGTCTGCCTCATCCCCTCTGCCTCCCTCTGGCCAGGCCAAGGTCGACCACCACTTCTGTCAGAGTCGGACAGGGTGACGGCCGTCCTCTTGGTGGTAAGCACAGTAAACATTTTCTCAGGTGCATTGAGAGGGTAAATCAATAATGAAACCCATGAGAGCTCGGAACACATAGAAAATAGAAATGTCTGAGACAAATGATAATATGTAAGCGTGTTCATTTTCTCCATAATTGACGCAGTATTTTGGACTCTTCATTTGTAACTTTTTTATGTTTAATGATATGAAAGGTAGACTTAAAATATAGTTAGCTGATGCAGGTCTCTGTTCATCATGATTTCAGCAGGCACTGTTTCATGTGTGTCAAGATTTAATAAAATGCAGAAGACAGTGATGTTAAAGTTACAATCACAAGCATCTGTTTTGTTCTTCTTGGCGGCACCTATGGTGATAATTGGTAATTGCAGGTGTGTTGTTGTTTTTTTATCTCACTTTCCGGAGGTCCAGAAAGTGTCGCCTGTGTGACGAGTCAGTTGGCGAATTTTTTTTTTCTTTGGTTTTGCACTGTTTTTTGAAGTGTCATCATCTGTAGTTATCGCCCTATATCATTTTTGTTTGTTTGTTTTTTTGTTTGTTTGTTGTGCCATAGTAAGAGTTTAATCGCAACGCCAGCAGAGACCAGGCAAAAAAAAGAAGCGATTTAAAGAGCAAGTTGGCTGCGCTAGCTTCACCTACCCTCTCTGGCGAACCAACCACTGCTGAGTGATGAGAAAGGCATCACTAACTGTGCGCGCCTTTTGATTTTTTCCTGGGAATGTTGCCACAGACACCCTGTTGTGATGCAAATGCAAGGGCTTTCACCAGTGGGCTGTAGGCTCAATTGCCATTAAGCTACCTCATTCAGTGATAGATAGTGACTTAACAGACATTTATTCTAATGAAAATCTTTTAGGTTATTACTTCTTCTGGAGGCATACACAGTCCAACAAGAAGTCCTTAGCCTTAGAATCTTCTGCAGGTCACAGGTTCATTCCCTGCAGGAGCAACCGATATGTCTATAAAAAGGGTCCTTGAGTACGACTTTGAACTTCACCTGCCTTCTGAGTCGCTCTACATATGAGCATCAGTGCTGAGAGTCTTTATGAAGAGGCTGTCTCTGTCCCCGGTCAGAGCACAGTGACTTCAGTCTGCAGGATGGACTGGGCTCGGGAGTTTCTGGGAAACTGAGCAGAGTTTTCAGTGCCGTTTCGGCTGACCGACATGGTATGCAGCCTGTAGTCCCGCCCCACATAACGCTTGAGAGATAAACTCCTCCATGTCCTCCTCAGCTCGCTCTGGACCTTATTATACACCAGCAAAGAAAAGTTTAGTGTCTGCAAGGTGGAGAATTAAATGCTTGAAAACCTGTGTGTGTGTAGACTCACCTCACTGTTGAGGAAGCAATAGAGGGTAGCCACAATCAGACCCTAAAACACACACATACAAAACTATTACTGACTAAACATCAGCTTATAGTTTTGTACAGCTTTGAATTTAAAGAAATGACATGTACTGTACCAACATAAGGGCTCCGATATAGAGGCAAAAATGATTTTTAAGATAATGATTAGCTGTGAATTTTGAGGATTTTTAAAACATTAACATCTCAGGAGGCAACTGCAATAGTTAAGACCAAGTTTTAAGATGATGAAGACACAAACAAATAAGAATTGAAGCTCTATTTAAGTTACTACACTGGCAATAAACAGTCTTCGTGTCTTTTCAAAAGTGGACAAAATCAGATAGATCAAACTTTTGGAGTTCTGGGAGACACCACAGGGTTTCTGTTCAAAACAGTAGGAGATACCTAAATAGGTATAAAAACTCTTCCATCTCTGTCAGTGAATCTCCTAAACTCAGAATGCAAGGATGGTGTTGCACATATCTGAACACATTTGATGTTTGTTACTTGTCGGCACTAAGCCCTTCATGCCTGTTTCTGCAATATGTATTTCTATATGGAAGCCTTAACATGCAAGACAGACAAATTATTTAGGGACAAATAAAACCTTGAACCCTTTAATGTCCAACCAATCAATGGAGAGGATTTGGTCTACTGTTTGTCTACTCCATATTTTTACCCTGTCTATTAAGCATTTTGATGTTTATCTAAAAATGTGCATGTTTGTGTACTTCTGTATATAATGTAAAATAAGTGAAACCTGTTATATTATGTCTACCTGGAATGATCCCAGGGCAAGTTCAAAGAAGATCTTGATGTGCTTCATGTTTTTGTCAGCCGGTTCCATCAGGTACACAAACACCACATAGTTCACCCCAAACAGAGGGATCAGCAGGAGGGTGGACTTAGCCAGACGTCTACAGAAAACACACACACACATTGATGCAGAAATCAAAAACTCAATAGGGTATGGGCCTAGATTTATTTGTCAGACCATGATAGTCCAACAGTGTTTCCAAATGCTTCTGTTATTGACAACATTTTTGTTTCTGGGCCTTAGTGTTTAGTGTAAAGTGTAGCACTTTGTTCCTTCTCTCCTCCAAAAAATGTTGGTTTGTGGACACTCATTTATAAGCCTCATGTTCAGCATTTTGGCTGTTGGCATTTGAATTTTTTGGAGGCATACGTGACCATATTTGGACGAGAGGGTAAAGCTGCGAAGGCGCGAAGGGTGGATCTGACTGAGGTTCTGTGGGGATCTGTTTTGGAGCCATGCTCATGTGGCCATTAGAGGAACTGCAGTTAGTGGCACTTCTGCATTGGATACATTTCTCAGCCCCAGAGGCTGCCAACAGGTAGACCTCAAAATGAAGGTTTCCAAACAGATGTCCAAGTTTAGAAACACTACAATGTGGCTGACAGATGGTTCACCATGTCACTTGAAAGCCCTTAAAATATAGAAATCTAATCAATAAAGGGTCAGAGGTAAAATATGTACCTGTACTGCGACTGTTCATTTCCTCCAACATCAGTGCAGCGCAGTTTCTGCACCAGGATGCGGATGATGCTGATGAACAGGATGAAGTTGATCTTGTAGAGAAACAAAAAAGAAAGGATGACAGACACGTGTTAGTAAATAGAGTTTGTTCTTCAACAATAGAAAGAACAGAATCAGATCAGCTGTGACATGGCCACAAAGACTTGTCTTGGTGACACCTATTTAGATACTTAACATTTCAAATTAACTATTTTAGGAGCTGTATGCAACATTCAGAACATTAATACAGCAGGAAACCACTAGTTGATATCTAAAGATAAAGCTTCGCAGTGGGTTGCTGTGATGTCCCTGAGAGTTTGTCCCACTGGCTAGCTAATTGCCACCACTCTGCACTGCATTCGTAGGACGGGTACAGCTGAAATCAGGATGGCATCGCCACAGAAGTGTAGCGCACATCCTCTATTCTCCCCTTGTTAAACACTGTTAGCTCTGTTAGCATTGCTTAATAAGTTAGCAAAGTTAGGTGCTAGCTGCCAGCTCAGCCACTTTCATGTTGAAAACCATGTGCAGACAATCCCACCTCAGACTCTGAATCATAGATATGCTCTGAATGTCACATACATCTTCTTTGAACAACAAATGTAAAGTAATTACACGTCTTTTCTATCCAGGTGCTTAGTCCAGAAAACGTAAAGTGGTTTCCAGTGGTGGAATGTAACTACCAGTAGTACAGCACTTCAGGACATATTTTAGGTGCTTTTACTTTCCTTAAGTCTGTTCTTTTCATGCCATTTTGTACCTCTACTCCACTACATTTCAGAGAGAGATATTGTGCTTTTTACTTCACTGCACCTATTTAATAACTGAAGTTAATAGTCACTTTCTAGATAATCAATTAGTCAGTTGACAGATAAAAACTATTCTGATAATTGTTAGTCATACTATGAAGTATTTGTGAAGATTTGCTCCTTTTCCTTTGAATAATGTTAACAATTTCTCACTTTTTCACTATTTTTACAAACCAATCAATTAATTGATTAATAGAGAAAATAATCTGCAGATTGCTGAAAATAATTATTAATTCATAGTTCAAAATGAGCTCCACCTCAGCCAACGACAGCAGTAAGTAACAGTTTCAATACAGGACTTTTGCTTGTATTTTTTACAGTGTGGTATTAGTACTTTTACTTAAGTGAAGAAAGGGAGGGAACAGAGAAATAAAGTTCAGGATGACAACGAGTTCTGATTAATTATCTGCTTTCCAACATGTTAGGAAATAAACTGCTGAATGATTGAACCTTATCTGAAGCTTATCTCTTCCTGTTATCTCCAGTCTGCACTGGAAGGCAGACGCACTGAGATGTCATACTAATGATAAAAATATTTTCTTTCAGTACATGCAGCTGAATAATGGAAACAGGAAGAGTGATAAAGTGATAGAGATAATTAAAGTGAAGCGCAGCAGGTCAAAGTGATGATGGATGTCAACTGTTAGTTTCCTGAATCTACTGTTCAAGTTCTATAAAATAATAAAAATCCAACTGCAAAGAGTTTATGGGGTTGAAACTGGAAATCCGACTGAGACTGTCCTGTGTAAGTGTATATAGTGGATATTACTAAATTTGCATCTTTAAATAAATACTGTAGTAGGACTAAATAAAACTAAGTCATGACAGAAAAACTGAATTTGTAACCTCATTCTAATAAATTGTTGACTCACAATGACAGACGCCATGATGGGCCAATTCATCAGTCTGTTGGGGACAGGGTTGTCATTCATCTCCCAACACCTGAAAAGAAGAAAATAAATCAGTGAGGTTTCATAGTTTTTTTTTAGTATATTTAAAACCCGAGCTGTCTCAGTTTATAAGCGATCTAAACATCTGGGTATTTTCTTGAAGTTAGGAACTCCAGCATGATGACAACACTAGTCCAGCAGTTTGAAACAATGTTTGCATTTACAGATTCTGGATTTTTCAACAAGAGGATGTTTTAAAGGTTGCAACTAATTCATTGAACTATTTTGTAAAAAAAAACAACAACAACAACAACATATGTGACAAAATATTATTCCAAGTGTATACAGAGTATTTTCTTGTTATTATACACATATGACTATTGTCACACATGTATACTGCCAGATATTAATACATACTTTCAACATATTGTACCACAGTAGCCAGAACTATAACTTTAATATTATTACTTTCATTAATGTTGTTGTAAGCTACTGTCATTACCTGCATCTCTCTCTCTCTCTCTCTCTCTCTCTGTCTCATTGTGTCATACGGATTACTGTTAATTTATTATGCTGATCTGTTCTGTACGACATCTATTGCACATCTGTCTGTCCTGGACGAGGGATCCCTCCTCAGTTGCTCTTCCTGAGGTTTCTACCGTTTTTTTTCCCCGTTAAAGGGTTTTTTTTGGGGGAGTTTTTCCTTATCCGCTGTGAGGGTCCAAAGGACAGAGGGATGTCGTATGCTGTAAAGCCCTGTGAGGCAAATTGTGATTTGTGATATTGGGCTTTATAAATAAAATTGATTGATTGATTGATTATGACTGAAGGGGATCTTTAATTCTTCGGTTTTGCTTTTTTTTCTGTCTGAAAAGATCTTACAATCTTCACAATCAGAATCAAATTTATTGCCAAGTAGATTTTCACATAAAAAGACTGTGCTTTAGTGCATAGCAATAAACATATTGAGAACAAATAAGAGATAAACACAAGTACTGCAAACAGTGGAAAGTCAATTCTCAGTGTCTGTGCTTGGGAGCCTTCAAGTTTCCACATCATACTTCTAAAAGCTGCATACTGGACTGTGATTGGCTCCAAACTAGTTGTGATGTCATAAAACCTTTCTGGTGCATCCAGAAATGTGATAAACTGAGATTTCAGTTGAGCATAGAGAAACTTTCCATCCTTTAACAGATTAATGTGAAAACAAACTCTGCACAGACATAATTCTGCACAACTGGGGTCGAACAGTGAAGGAACAATAAACACATTTTGAGTGGAGAGAGACTTTAAATCGGTTTGCAACGTAATGAAGGACATGACAATACTATATGTCTTGTTTTTCTACAGTGTAAACACCTGACATCAGAAAGAAACTAACCTATGATAGATTATATAACTTAATGTCATTTCATGTCATCAGATTTTACTTCTTTTTTTTTTTGTCTGTTATCCTGGCTGCTGTGCTGGTAGAGGCCACTAGAGGCCGACAGTCTTTATGTTCATTAAAATGCTAAACAACATAGACTTACCTTGTGTCCTCCAGGTTTATCCTACATATGATCCACGCTACCATGAAAACAAAAGGGATTCCTGAGAGGAGAGAGGAGAGGAAGTCTGTTTAGATTCTCAGTCTGCACATCCTCACGAGGTGCCACACACACACACACACACACACACACACACACACACACACACACACACACACAGATGTACATTAAACAGCTGGAGCTGAGTGTTGATGCATTAGAGAGGAAGTGTGGGTAAAGTGGTGATGGATGGTGGAAGGACGTGTCACATGGCAGCAGAATGGAGCTGAGTGAACACAGAGGAGCCAGGAGACTGTTTACCACCAGCTTGCTACCACCCGACCTTTCATGAAATACACTGGTCTGCCTCACCAGCATGACACTCTGTCTGTCTTTCTGTCTGTGCGTACAAGAGTGTTTTTGCAAGACATTTTCAGCCGCAATGATGCAATACTTTTGCTCTTGGTCTTGCTTGCTGAAAATTACATGAGAGGGTCGATACCACTCTACTGTCTGTGCGGAAAATATGAAGCTACCACCACTAGCTGGTTAGCTTAGCTTAGCACAAAGTAAGCAGCTACATTTTTTTAACATTTTAACTAAACAAAACATAACGTGTTAATCAGTGAACTTTAGAGGTGAATCTAGGCTTCGTTACCTTTGGATGGAGGCTAGCCATTTCCCCCCATTTCCAGACTTTACGCTAAGCTAAGCTAACCAGTTGCAGTCTACAACTTTGTATTTACTGTACAGACATGAGTTTTATTGATGTTCTCCTCAAACTCTTGGCAAGAAAGTGAATATTTTCCAAAATGCTGAGCTTGTCCTTGAAAGCCACCATGTTTCCTTTAAAGCAGCTACTATTTTTAGGTGCTTATTAACATCTTTCAAATTATTCTGATGCAGTAATTTTTTGTTTAAATGAAAATTCTAAAATACTTGTGAAAAGTGGTGCAATCTATGTGTTGCTTGTTATGCAATGTTTACACTAGACGTGGAAGCGCCCTGATATGTCACTTGTTGCACAGCCATCCATCAGCAGTCGCCTGGCTGTTCACACCAGAAGCACATTGTTTTGTGCCTGTCATCTTTTCTAATCACACATAAAGCTTTATCTGCATGGATGCATATCTTATCATATATCATAAACAGATGTTTTATATCATGTCTAATGTGTCCTTTATATTGCTTATGATAGAATATCAGTGAGTTGGGTTTTTTTTTGCCAGAAAAAAATAGACCAGCTACCAAAACTGTCGCTGCAGATTGGGAGCCGACCACAGAGCTCACAGTGCTGTGGTGTGTCCACTATGAATAGCCCAGTTGGTCGACATGGGTGCCAAAAGGAAGTGAGCAGGGCTCAAAGAAAAATCATCGCTCTTCGCAACACTTTTGCATTGAGTGTAAACCTGATGTTAGTCCACACTTGGCTGGCTAAATTTTAAAATGTGCGTCCACGCTGGTGTTTCTCAGGTTGTTTTTACTTTCAGTTAGCAGTGAAATGCTAAACAGTAAGAAAACAGGTGAATCTCTTCCTACTCCTCTTTCTGTCAGCAAACAACAAAATTCTGCATCACAGCCAGCACAGGGCAAAATATGTGCCACAGTTGTGTTTTTTAAATACATGTTCTACTGATCATGCTCCCTGCCCTGCCAATCTCCAGATTTCAGCAATTAACTTCGTTATAGAAAAGTTTAATATTAATTATAGCCTAAAACTAAGAAAGACCCAGGTTGTAAAAACCAACAGAGTATGTTGCAGTGCTCCCGTTGCGGTGCAGCTTACCCCAGCCGATGATCATGTACATGGAGAGGCGGGTGGAGTAGCTGTGGACGACAAGCAGCAGCGTGTGCAGGTAGAGACCCTCCACCAGCAGCCAGAAGAAGTTGGCCATGACAAAGTAGTTGAAGAACACCAGCGTGGCCTTACAGCCCACCTACAACAACAAGAACAACATACTTTATCACATTATTTCATTTCGCAGTGACTATACAGTACACACACATTTCATAGTAGGCCTGTAGATTCTAGATGACAATAAAACTTGAACTGAACTTGAACACAAAGGAGGTTTGGGGGTCACATTTAGGGCATCACACAATTAACCTTTTAACAACTAAATTTTTTGCCTTTTGTTAGTCATTTTTGATTGGTTGCCAAGCCTCAAGAAAGCAGGTCTCATGTAATATGTTCAGGTGTGGCCTGACCCTTTTCCTATTGACTGGCATGAAAATAACCACATCATACATGTACTAATAGATTAGTCTATTTGGTCATAAAAAAATTAAAAATAAATAATAAATAATATTAAATAAAAAATAATCCAGGTAAACTGCAACCCAAAAATATTGTTCAAGGTTAAGCCCCTTCCACACTACAAACAGAAAAAAATATAAGCAAATATTGAAATATTTTAAACTAGAATAGAATAAAAACAACTAAAATAGGCAACAAAATTGACCATAGTATAAAAAGGTAACAGTAAAGGAAGAAATAAAACAAATTATACTTACAAGAAGATATACAGTTGAGTATACACATGCATTTATACATGTATATACATAGAGAGAGAAAAAAGTACAAAATATGTGTAGTATTAGTTTAATAAAGCGTCTCTAAGGGTTCAAACAAGCTGTAAAATATCATATTCAATGTGGAAATCAAAGCACAATAGAGAAACTGAAAGACAAAGTCCTCTTAAGTACAGTGAAATGTATGTGTGTGTGTGTGTGTGTGTGTGTGTGTGTGCGTGCACGTGTGTGAAGTCACCAGTGAGGGTTGCGTGCTGCAGTCTGAGTTTTGGTCGTCTGAGAAGAGCAGCGTGTCTTTGGTCAGCACAGCTACAGCTCGCAGCATGAACGACAAAAACAAGTTCAGATGGATGTAGTTCCTCGTGCAGTGGAGCCTCCTGCATGTATAGACGTACACACACACACACACACAGACAGACACGCAGAGGAACATTGAGAGGTGTGTTTACAGAAGGTGTCATGGTGTGAATCAAGTGAAGGATGTGGTATCTAAACACGCTGATAGCAGCCGAGTGAACAGCTGGAGTCGATCCAGACTGAGCTGCAGTATTCATCAGCCTCACACAACAAACTGTTATCACCCTGAGTGCTCTGTGTCTTAGGAAACACGTGTGTGAGTGTATGTGTTGAAGAGTGTATATGTCTGCTTATAAGTAATCCTTATAGTATCCTGCGTTTAATGTTTTAAGGTTATTCTTAAGTCCTGATGTAGCTAAAGGCTCGCACACATGCTCGACACTTAACTGTCGATCATCATCATGAATATTTACTATCATAATCTAAATTTTCTGCATTTCTTTGCACAGAATAATACGTCTGCATTTAAATTAACTTCAGCTGGAGGAGAAACATACGTGAGGTTAATGTCACGCTTCCACATAATGATTTAATCTAAACTAAATCACAATTGTTCCAGGTATTTTTGATGTCTTATGTATCACAAATATTTTACACAAGGTTGCAGACATCAAAGGCAGATGTTGAAATGATTCTTGATACCTTTGACACCTTACCATAAGGAGCAACAGAATCATCACTGCGGAAGACTGCATTTTATTTCCTTATTTTCTTTTTAGGAATTAGTGATGAAAAAAATGCATTTGACTTCTGAGTGTGACTATTCTGCTGTTTTTTATAGTGCATTTTTGCCATAAACATCTGATTTTGCAGACTTTTCAACACCAATGGAGCCCTGAACCTGTCCAGTTAACAGCTGTTAATATTAATGCACAAAAGATTCATTTGAATCAGAATGGGAAGAAGTGTGTGGACAGTTTTCTTCTTCTTCTTCTTTTTTTTTTTTGGTCAGATACATTTTCACCGAAATTGCGAACAACATTTTTTTTTTTTTTTTTTTAAGTTTAGTTTACACTGCAAAAGGATGTTTTGAATATGCAATTCATGCTCATCTATTTGGCATAAAGTTAATTTATATTACAAACTGATACACAGTGAATGAAAAACAGAATTATGATGCTGATCAGGCCAAAAATGAACAAAAAAATAATAATCTGAAACTAAAAGTATAAGACATTAACAAATAATGCCACTGTTGTTCTCTTTTGCATTACCTCAATTCTCACAGATACTGTTTTGAACATTTCAGTTCACTTTTTCAGAGTTATGTTTCACTCTTTAATTATTTTCCACACAAACCGTGATACCTGAAGATACTTCAAACATTTTAAGAGGTTTTGTCTGACTGGTTTGACTGGTGTGGTTGTGTGACTGGTGGACAGATGAGTGAGTATGTGTGTCTGTGTGTTTGTGTTTACCTGAACAAACAGATGATGATTGAGCTGGTGAGCAGAGTGATGAGGGACAGGCTGTGGCCCAGAGTGGACAGGATCTTCACCACCCTGTAGAAGACCAGCTGCACAAACAGAGGAAAAACATTAAATGTGCACTACATGTGAAATAACGTCTTAAGTCATAATTAGCTAATATGAACACAATATGTGTCATATCTACATAGGTGGGTTATGGCTGACCCTGTCTGTGGCCCATTAACCAACTATTAAAACATCCAAGCAAAGGCAAATTTAACTGTTAAAAAAAGGGATGCTCAAATGTTGAACCTAAAAATACATACAAGACTCTTACTAAATATAAAATACTTATTATATTATGACATTTCTGCCATAATATATGCCCCTAAATCCTACACACTGGACCTTAAAGTAAAAGTACTAAAGTATTAGCATTTTCTTAAAGTACCAAAAGTAAAAAAAAAAAAAAAACAACCCTCACTGTGCAGAATGGCCCATTTCATAATAATTATTGATGCATTAATGTGTACATCACTTAAATATTGCAGCTGGTAAAGGTGGAGCTAATTTTAATGCAGTTACTAGCTGGGTGACTTATCCCACAACGATATATCTTAAGTTATTAGTTTATTTATATTTTGTAATAATAATCAAGATCTGCAAAGTGTAAATTTATCAAATAAATGCAGTGCAGAGAAGTATAAAATTACATAAAATGAAAATACTTGAGTAAACTACAAGTACTTGAATTAATGTATAATTACTTTCTGGTTGTGCTTTCTAGAAAAACAAAATATAAAGCCACTAGAGGGCGCTGCTCTCTAGTTCTGTTATCTACATATTACATCAATAAAGTGGCTGCCTGAATAATTATTGTTTACTCCTTCAACAAGTAAACAAAGCTGTTGCCTGGGGCCTGTAGCACAAAGCGAGATCAATCTTTCCTGGGTTACCCAGACCTATCCTGGGTTGACTAACCCTGACAATGGCAATCAGGATAATTGGTATCACGATGCTGGATATCAACTCGGTAACTCAACCCAGTGTTGCTTTATCAAGAGCCGTGAACGTGCACGCAGCGGACCAATCACAATCGTGAGAGAAGCGCAGCGTCACTGAGCATCACTGAGCGTCCTCACAGAGCGCTGTATGTGAGGAAACAAAAGTATTTCTCGTGAGGATCAGAGATTAATTCTCCTAAAATATGAGGAGAAGAAAAGCAACGTTACAGAAAAGGCCAACACCGTGGCAGCTGCAGGAGGAGGACACATGCATGGCAACGCATAACGGGATGAATAATGTTTAGTTTTAGTTTAGATTAGTTTATTTGCACATAATGTTAAAAACAGACAGTATAAAATTTACAAGATTAAAAAAAGAAAAGTGCCGGAGAGGTTAGAAGCCACTAAAGACTTATCAAAGAAATTCCCCTGTCAAAACATCAATGAAATCACATAATAGAGAAGAAAAAAAAACAGGTAAGGAAAAAAGAAATAGAGGAGGAGAGAGAGAAAAATCAAGACAAAACAAGGTAGCAAATAAAATTATGTGTAGGCTAAATTACTCATCACTGGTTCAAGTAGCTACAGTACTAGACTCACAAGTCAGTCTTCAGACGCTTTGCTTAACTAAAGACTGATGACTTTCTCCCTGATTTTGTGTTTAGATGGGCGGATACAATTTCAGAGTTCAAAAAAACTCCCTACATTGCAGAACCAATAGTAAATCCGCAGGGCGGTCCTTCGGTGGCTCACTGAACTCTTGTGCTTGTAAACATAGTCCGACTAGAAACACGTGTAGCGGTACAAAATGGTTCAGCCGCACTCGCAGAAAACGCCGTCAAAGTTAGTGAATGTTTGTCGCATTTGCGGCGACGCATTCTCGCCAACTAAAAGAAACAAACATAATCTTTTACAAGGCCATAGCCGTTTCTCAATATGCGTTCTATGCAACTTCTGTTCTTGTGGACTTGTGACACGTCATCAGTCACAGCCCAAGTACTGTTCCAATTCAAAGTTCACATCTAGCCAAGTTCAGTCCAAATTCCCGGATGTGTTCTCGCCACACCCATTTCACTGGGGATGCATCGGGGCAGACTTGTGCGGACTTCAGACAGCCAGGTATCCCAGCATGTATTTCGCAACAATCATCGGAAAATGACAAGTGAGGGAAAGGCGCACAATTGTAAGCCATAATTACCGATATGTAACTGTTGTGTTGTCACGGAACGTAGTGTTTTCATGTGTAGTTTAAACGTCAGACCCGTGGTCGATGTTTTAATATAGAGCCCAGTTGAATGTGACTGAGGTCCGCTAGATGACAGCGGTGTTTATGAGCGCTGACACCCCTGTCATCTAGCGGTGTCAACGCACATAGATAATAAACAAGCGCTCAGGCTGCCCCAGAGAGCAGCCTCTCTCGGGTAGTCCTTTTGAAATTCATGGCTGATATCTCTGTAGTGGTTAAATATGAAATGTAATTCATTTGGCGAATGTCTAATGGCCAATATTCAGTCTCAGTAGAAGATATATTCTTATGTTATTAAATGTTGTAACATGTTATTGTTCTTTGCATTCTTTTGCTTATTTAGGCCTATGTGTTTTTACCATTCAATAATGATTGTAAGAATTTATTGTAATTTATTTATTGTATTTAAAGATTAATTGTCTTTATTGTAGTATTTATTCAACAGCATTTTAAATATTGATTATCTGATATGAATTGTATACCTGATGTCTGAAGTGGGGCTGAATAAAATTTTCCTCTTCACATCTGACCTGTTTGATCCCATTTATATTGTTGAGGACAGACTAAATGAGAAACTGCTGTCAGTGTAATCCAGTACAGTTCAACAGCACCACAATCTACAACTCAACACTTCAATAAAATGTTAGACTGAATATTAAACTGTAGACGCAGGGCTGGGCTGTGTTTATATTATTTTATTCTAAATGCATGTATACAACACAGTACAACAGCCAAGGCGAGCGGAGGTGGTGACATCATCAAGTTCGCTGCTGTTCCAAAAGCAGAAATGACTGTACTCCCGTCCTCCCGTTCTTGGGAAGTCCGGACTCTCACGTGGACTTGCCAAGTCCGAACTTGCCAAGTCCACAAGTCCGAACTGCCGAACTTGAGTATTGAGAAACGGCTCAAGACTCATCTGTCCAGCCGCCTTGTTGTTTACAAATACAGTACAGGCCAAAAGTTTGGACACACCTTCTCATTCAATGCGTTTTCTTTATTTTCATGACTATTTACATTGTAGATTCTCACTGAAGGCATCAAAACTATGAATGAACACATGTGGAGTTATGTACTTAACAAAAAAAGGTGAAATAACTGAAAACATGTTTTATATTCTAGTTTCTTCAAAATAGCCACCCTTTGCTCTGATTACTGCTTTGCACACTCTTGGCATTCTCTCCATGAGCTTCAAGAGGTAGTCACCTGAAATGGTTT